TGCCAAATTTGCAGGAAAAATATGCCACCCTTCTCATGAACAGCATCCACAATTGGTTCCATGCCTCCACATGCTCCTTTGTCCAAATTCCAGGAGTATTTGGGTACAATTACCAATTAATGTTTTTCAAAATCACTAGATCACCTCGTAATAATCAAAGAAAATAGGATTTAAATCAAAGAAAAACCAAGGAATAGAAGACATCTGTTAACCTCATATCTAGGAAAAATTCCTAGTATCAACTAGCAAAAGAAAAAAAAAAAGTTAAAAGAGTTTGCTACTCTTATCTAGAAAGAACGGTGATTGAGCTTATCGAATTAAACTAATTCACAAATAATTAATCATCGTCAACGCTTTAATCTTTCTAGACTTCTAGCACGACGAATGACCTGGTTTCAACATAAGAGCTGAATCCCGATTTGAATCCTAGCTCAAGCAGCAAATGAACTATGGTGCCTCGTGTTCAAGTGTTACAAATCTCGATTCCAACTTACTTTTTCTGTGTTATCTGATTGTTCTACCAAAAAGTATTACAAGGGGAATATTATGATCATTAATGTGCATACCCCAGAGCAGTATTAGAAACTGCAGTGGCTTCAGTAATAAGAAAACCGCCATTGGTTGCGCGCTGAGAGTAATACAGCGCCGCGTGTCGCTGTGGAACATTGTTGTAAGATCTGCTTCTGGTTAATGGTGCTAAAACAATTCTGCATTAAGCAACAATATCTTGATAAACTGTAAATTAAGTAAAGAAAAGGGGACTGACGAATCATTAAGAAAGTGCGGTATAAATCAAAAGAAGAGTAAAATTATCCTGCTTCTATAAAAGATATATGAGAATGAGAATCTCTAACTAAAAGTTAATGGGCTAAAACAAAAAACAAATGCACATTGAGAAGAGAACATTACAAACCTGTGAGATAGTTCAAACTCTCCCATTTTGTAGGGAGTGAGTAAAGGAATGGGATTGGATTGGATTTAGAGGATAGCACAGCCATTTTTTCAGTGTCTTCAACAAAATAAGGCCTTTTGCTTAGTTTCATATAAAAAATGCAGACTTTTTGGCCTTTATCCTAGTACAATCAGACATAGTCCCTCAATCCTCAAAATATTTTAATGGGTTATGTTGGAAATGGATGGATGCCCATATCTGGGTTGATTCACCCCATGCCGTGTATATAGGTTTGTGGTAGAAGATAACTGTCTACTTCACATGACCAACTTGAAACTCTGATGATTCCCTATATACATAAGATCACCGCTAGAATTTATTTTAATAATCACATTTTTGGACGTCAATTTAATTAAAATTCTATTTGTTGTACTAAAATAAGATCTGTGCATGCTCAACTAGTGGTAACTTGTGCATTTTAGTGACATGGAGGGACTCGATGGTATAATAAACAAGAAGTTACACCATTATACTTGAACAAGAAACACAGAACTTCAGAACAAATGTAATTGACATCTCAGATCACTATTATTCTTTATTATACAGTAGTACATGATGATTGAAAGACAATTACTTCACTGTTTTTCAACACACAATAGCATTCAAGCAACAACCTGCAGAAATGGATAATCAGTATACCCAACAACTGGATCCTGAATATAGAAAGTACTCCTTTCGTGCTTGTTAAGAGGCGCATTGATCTCAAAACGCTTAGGTAAATCTGGATTTGCCAAGAACAGACGTCCAAACGACACTAAATCAGCATAACTCTCTTCTATAGCTTTGTCACCATCATATTTATTGTAACCACCAGATGCAATAAAGGTGCCATTAAACGCTTTCTTGATTGGCAGAAGGCTTCGAGGAGTTATGTAATCGTCACCTACTTTGATCATCCTTGGCTCTGTAACATGTAGATATAGAATTCCGAGATTGGTAAGTGCATTAGCCATGTAGAGACCTAGTGCCTCTGGAGTTGAATCTCCAGTAGTCCCCTTGTAATCATCGTAGGGAGATAATTTTATCGCGGTTCTATCTGCTCCTATTTCTTCGGCCACTGCTTCAACCACTTCCAGCGCCAGGCGACAGCGGTTCTCTAAGCTGCCACTGTATTGATCTGTCCTGTCGTTGGCTTCATCCTTCATGAGTTTGTCTATTAAGTACCCATTTGCACCAAGAATCTCAACCCCATCAAATCCTGGAATGTTGAAACAAAAAATTGTAGTGTTTGGAAACTGAGAGGTAGATAATGCACAGATATGGGTTCTAGAATTACACAAGCTTTGAGTAGAGCAATGATCTTGTTTTAGGTAGTGGTGTTGATATGGTGACCAAGAAGGAAGCCATAAAATACATAGTGTATCGAACCTTTACGAGGGCTGGCCTATACCGACCCTTTTACACCACTTAGTTTTAAGTCACTGGGATGTTATAACATATTGAAAATTTTGGTCATCCACAGGTTTAAATTGAGTTAGTGCAGTTACCAGCATCGATGGCATTACGCGCAGCAGCCCTGTAATCATTGATGATCTGTGGGATATCTTCCAATTTCAGCTTTTCAGGTGTTGTTCCTTTGTAGGCTTGATCCTTAGGCTCTAAATTACAGAAGTACATCTGATATAAGAATTTATTTCTATTCTGAAATAACCTTTTCAGAGGCTCTTAAAATGTCTAACCTCTGTCGATGAAGAACCACTTCTCATTATAATTGTCAGATACATTATCTTCCAATTTCAGTTGTTCAGGTGTCGTGTCCTTGTCATCTTGATCCTCCTCTAAATCACAGAAATACATCTTATTAGAATTTCTATTTTTTTTATAACCTTGTGACTTGTCAGATGCTCTTAAAATGTCTAACCTCTGCCGATAAACCACCATTTCTGAGTAGTATAGTCAGAAACGCGACCCGGATGCCAAATTTGGCAGAAAAAGATACCACCCTTGTTATGAACAGCATTGACAACTGGTTTCCACGCCTCAACTTGCTCCTTTGTCCAAATTCCAGGCATATTTGGGCACCTGAAACAAAGTGAAATAAAATTACTGTAAACTTGAAACTTGTAATACTATTTTGAAAAACTAGCTCCTCTAGAAAACCTTTAAGCAGTTCTGAGAATCGAAAACTTTATTTTACTTTTTCTTTAAAGCTTAAATCTACGAATCGTAGACTACACTTATAACTTGATTGATCATGGAGACTTGAATTAACAACCGGAAGAACACAATGAATACCGTAGTGAGATATCGCATGCGCCATTTGCCTCAGAAATAATGAGCCCTCCACTGGTTGCTCGTTGAGAATAGTACTCAATGGCATGTGGTTGTGGGATGTTGTTGTTTGCCCTATTCCTTGTCAATGGTGGAAGAACTATCCTGCATGTACATAACCCAAATTCAAATTCATTACTGTGATCTAGTAATGAACAGCACTTAGTGGCAAAAGGGATTCGTGTGTGTATCATTCGAGCAAATGCATGATCACATTTAAGGACTGATGAATGTGAAATCAAGAGATAGGCTGGTTAGAGACCTGTGAGAAAGATTAAATCTTCCCATTTTGTAAGGAGTGAGGAGAGGAATATTTTCTGTAGCCATCTTCAAAATCTTATTTTGCTTGGAGAAAATCATAGAGAGGAAGCATTAATTTATATTGCTGAAAAAGGCAATTTTTTAGTGCAGCTTACGTCTAAATTTAATTTTATTCAGCAAGTTGCCTATTGCAGAAATATAAAAATTGATAAAAGTCAACAATCCTTAAACAAAATTTTGCCCCAATAATGCAGGCAGGGATTGAATAATAATCAGGTTTTGTTAGATAAAACTGAGAGTTGACTTTTATTGAGTCTAAGCCTTTCGATAGACAGATTAAACGTTGGATCACAGTGAATTTTGATATGCAATCTCTTTTCCAAGAGCTATGGGTGGGGGTGGGGGGCAATTAAACATTTTTCACCCATGATCAAGCTCGGGAATCCACCTAAGCAGTATTCATATGGAGGCCAACCCCACCCCCATGGGTGGGGGTGGGGGGCAATTAAACATTTATCACCCATGATCAAGCTCGGGAATCCACCTAAGCAGTATTCATATGGAGGCCAACCCCCTATAATGTTTGTCCCAACATCACGTTCAGTGATGCTCCGCACCATTCTCCTCTCGTTATGAGAATCAGACACGAGATCTCCAACTCTAATGCCAACTAATGTAAGGAGATGTGATAGATGTACAATCAAACACTTTATCACTCAGGATTAGGCTCAAAAACGAAAAATTAGGTTTATCCTAGTATCTTTATGCCAACCATTTTGAAATCAATCATCACATTATGGTTACACCAAACCATCCGACGATTGATGTTACTAATCTCATTTTATATACAAGAATTCTATGCTTCTCGAGAAGATATCATTTCTCTCATCTATGGGACCACACTGAATTATCCCATTAGAAAGGGGAGGTTTTCCAGCTGTGCAAATCCAATCCATAATTCCATCAATAGCCCAAAAATTCACCCCAAAGACTATTTGTTTGGATCAACCCCTTATGCAATAGGCCCACCCATGTGTCACTAAAAAAATTAGGGAAAGATTACATATTCAAGAGTATAAGTTTAGTATATTTCAAAAATAAGAACACAAGT